GAAGATAAACGACGACAATTCATGTGTGTAAGATAACCCTAATATCCCTGATTTTCTTAAATTCTTATTTTCTTATTTCCCCTATTTTCTTAAATTCTTACATCCTCACATTCTTATTTTCTTGTGTGCAATATTAACACAGAAACTAACAATGGAGGGGGTGGAGGATAGCATTATGAGAGCGTGAAACTCACGAGACAGTTTCTTATTTCCCCGGTTTTCTTAAATTCTTATTTTCTTAACACACGTCGTTATATAGGCATTATCTAGATAACTATAATTGGACAGCTCTCTTTTCCAAAAATGTCCCGAATAATCTTCCGAATCTACTTTAATATACTATTACAGACGAAATCAAACCATGAAATGGATTGTAGTGATAATTAGTTAAATTAATTTACTTTTTCTAGATTATCGTGTTTTAGTTTTATTTATCACGTGGTTGAGTTCATTAGACAATTTATAGATGTAGTAAAAACCGACTACAACTTTTTCTCATTTAACAAAGGGAGGAGTGCATTAATTGAACTAATTATTATCAGTGATCTTTCTCACATCACATCAAGATTGTAGTGATGTTGAATGGAAAATGTGGATCGTACTGAATCAACTTACACTGCCGGCATAGCGAAAGAGTTCGAAAACTTTTTTGTAAACTTCATTCTGACCCACTTGTTGTAACATAAGACCAATGAATTGTTGGAAATGGTGCTGTTAAGCTTAAGAAAATTAAAATCCATTTGCTATATAAAATATGTGACTTTTACAAATTTATCGTATTGATAACGTGAGAAAACAAAGAATGGAATTATTTTTAATTTAAAGGGTGTTTATTGTGGTTATCTTACACACATGAATTGTCGTCGTTTATCTTCATAAATCATTCTCAACTCTTTCCGTGTAAATAATAACAATTCATTGTGTTGATGACATTTGCTCAATGGATTTCTTGTTTCCTTCAAACAATTCATTATCGCTAAACAGTAGGTGTTTGTTTTCTCAAATTCCCTCTTTTCAACTAATTTTAGAAACATACCCAACGACTTTAATTCCGTAATATGCATTAACGGATCGATAAAAAATGATTCCGTACTGTTCTGCTTTCGATTAACACGAAAAAATGTATACAGATTACTGATTGATGTTGGATAACGAATATTTGGATTCGGATGTTTTTGAAGATCGGCAAGCGCTTTGTAAATGTCATGATAGCCAACAATAGCGCCACCAAAATCAACGTATTTAATACGATGAGTAAAACGATTAAGTTTCATATTGCCCAAATGATTGTCCAAAAATAATATCGGAATTTGATCAAAATTACACAACGAAGCTAAATATAATCAAATAAATAGACTCTTGTTGAAAACAGACAAATTTGAGTTTTAACTCACCAATAATTTGACAGACGATAAATATTTTATGTTTTGGTAGAATATCAAAATTTCGGTTAATATTTGTAGACTCCGTTTCGCTCTGCTTCTGTTTATCTTTGGAGTGGATCATTGGCCTTGAATTAGTATTCAGCAGTTGATCTTGCTTAGTTGAACTTGAATGGCTCTTTCCTATTCTATGAGTCAGTTGTGCAGTTTTATTTCCATTGACTCCAACAGCAGTTGAAACGGCTGCTATTTTCGCTGTTGATATTGGAGGTGCAATGATCGAATCATCTTTGTTTCCCCTTGCTTTTTTAATACCTTCACTATCATTTTTATTTTTATCTGTGTTGGCTTGCATCATTTTACTAAAAAGAAAAAATTTACAGTGTATATTTTCTCACATCACGAGGTTACATCTGAAGGTATCCCAAGATATTTTATTTGAATTTTTGTAGTTGTTTAGAAAAAATTTGAATTTTTGACTCAAACATTCTTGACGCAACTCAAAGTGAAGTGTGTCTTATAAAATAAGAATACTCTCAATTCTTCTCAATCTTCTCTTGAAGAGATACAAAATTACTGGAGTTTGTTTCGCATCACCCTCAGAAAACTTTATTTTTTTAGTGTCAAAATATTTTTCTCTCTCTTTCAATACTTGAAAATATTTTCAATTAGTCTTGTGTAGAAACGATTTCTCTAGATGAAGATATCTCCTACCTCTTCACAGTCTTCACTTCAACTTAATCTTTTTTGCAAGATTTCTCATTCTCCGGAAAGTAGAAAGAATGTAATTCAAACTTATCTAGTTGCGCTCGACTCATTTATTTTGAAACTGCCTGTAACACAAATACAAACTAGAAGAAATGTGGCATGCAGCGGCGCTCACGAGGGAACTTTCGAGATGTCCCCTTTCGATGCCAATGATCTGTACATGGATCGATAGACTTCAGTGAGATAGTAAATACTCTAAAAGATTCTTGCCCAGGACTCTTGAAGATCCATTTATCTGGAAAACCAGTTTTTCAAGAACCTAAAAAATAACCAAAGCCTTCCTTAAT